ATATATATATATATATATATATTTATATATTATTTTAAATAAATATTATACATTTAATATTTAAATATTACTAATGAAAAAAGTGGGTCATTAAAAATAAAAATAGTGGTTCTACAATTTATATTTATTATTTTATTGTTCAAACTTGAAAAGAACAGTAGAAGAGATTCTTTTATATACATTTTTTTTTTTTACATATACATATCGCTCACTTCTTTCTCATCAGCGTTATGTGGATGGTGGGATGAGTGATAATCTGCCCCAGTCCGAGTTGAAGAACACCATCACCGTTTCTCCATTCTCAGGAGAGAGTGACATCTGTCCAAAAGACAATTCCACCAGCTTCCACGAACTGCGTTTCACAAACACCAGCATACAAGTCAATCTAGACAACATGTACAGACTGAGCAAAGCACTGTTTCCCCCAGAGCCTAAAGTAAGAACACCAAACACACACACACACACATGCTTAAGTGAAGTAAGAGTGGTATGCATGAGCTGCAGTGCAGTTACACAATCACTGTCTGTATTCAGCCTTTAAAAAACATGCAGTTAAATGCTGGTCTGTCCTTAAGCCCTCTGATGCACAGAGAGATCCAGGCAGATGAAGTCTTTCGGTAAAATTGTAATTTATTGAACACATAATTATAAATTATAACAATTACATGTGATAATCATAATGAAAAAATTCAAATTAAAGAAAAGGTTTAAAAATGAACACGAAATCCAAACTGAGTATATTCTGCTAAAATTTCTAAGAGAGTAATACAATCTAAGTGTAATAATCTTCAGAAGTCAAAAGACAAAGGCCTTTTGAGCATGTGATGTGAGCAGAAGCAAAGAAGCTGCTGCCTGAAAAGCCAATTGGAGATATATATATATTAGACTTACATCCTCTTACAGCATAAAAATATATTTATGTTTGATCAAAGGAATTTATCATTTTTCCATCATCCTATAAACATATTTTAATCATAACAAGATGTACCTTTATATGTCAAATGTTAAAAGAAAATACTACGTCAATGGAATATGAGTATAAATGAAATTAATAGTAATAAAAGAGAATAAATGAATAATACTTGAGTATATGAGTAACATAAGACAGTAATATGAATATAATGTGGAGTAACAATGATAGAATCATAAAGAGTAACTTTCATCCTTTTAACTTGTTGTGATCATTTCTTTCATTGATTTTAAATGAGTTAAGTATAGTAAGAAAATCCCTATAGTGTTTGACCTACCGTATTTAATTGGAGTCACTCATTTTCATAATTATCTAAGCGTTATTTAACCCTCATGATGTGTTTTCATTTTTTTGTCCAGTCATATAATATGTCTTACTGATCAGAGCTTATGCACCTCAGTTTTTGAGTAAACATTGGCAAAATTATCCACAAATAATGCTTTTTTTACTCAAAAACCAAAGTGAATAAGCTCAGATCAATGAGGCCTATGAGCAATCAGTTCCAAAAAGACTTACAAACCTGTGCTAATTGAACGAAAACAAGTTGACAAAAAGATTGAATCTTAGATGTGGTGGTAATATAGCATAATAAGAAATTTACAAGCAATTTTTAAAAGGCCGGTCATTTCTGACCAGGAAGCTCAACACAGCACAATAACTAATTAAATCATATCTTATCACACAATGAAATGTCTGTGCATGTGATTGGCAGGTGCTGGCAGAAATGTGTCAAAGCGGGTATAAAGACGCCCTCCGATTTCTCCAGGAAAACAGTGAGTGCTCTTTATCTCTCGTGTCACTTTATCTCTAATGTTCGTTTATGCGTTATGCCAAATGTGACCCTGGACCACAAAACCAGTCATAAGGGTCAATTTTCTGAAATTGAGATTTATACATCATCCGAAAGCTGAATAAATAAGCTTTCCATTGATGTATGGCTTGCTATACTTATTTGTTACTTACTTGCTATACTTATTTATATACTATATTTGGCCGAGATACAACTATCTGAAAATCTGGAATCTGAGGGTGCAAAAAAATCAAAATACTGAGAAAATCGCCTTTAAAGTTGTCCAAATGAAGCTCTTAGCAATGCATATTACTAATCAAAAATTAAGTTTTGATATGTTTACAGCAAGAAATTTACAAAATATCTTCGTGGAACATGATCTTTATTTAATATCCTAATGATTTTTGGCATAAAAGAAAAATGTATAATTTTGGCCCATACAATGTATTTTTGGCTATTGCTAAAAATATACACCAGCGACTTAAGACTGGTTTTGTGCTCCAGGGTCACAAATATGATATGTGCTGCGGTTTAGAAGATAATGGTGATGTCTCTTTATAGATTTGCTACAGGCGGCATGTCCAAGAGCAGACGTGGCTTTGATTCAGACCACGCCTACCTGCTGCTGTCCAGGCAATAGGAATTCAGTCGTGACAGAAACCACAAAAGAGTGGGTGCTGCGGAGACTCCGCCTCTTGAGAAAACACCACTGGTGGTTGGACGAACAACTTGTCAATAACCTGCCAACCCCCATTAAGAAAGGTAGAGTAAAGGTTTTTGCACACTGAGTCCGAAATTTTCGCACGTTAAAAAATAAATACAACCTCACGTTGTGTCAATCACGTTTACACACTGCCTCCGAAACTTTCATCCGTCATAAAATAATTTGGATCAGGTTAGATTTTCTGCGTTTTCGCATCCGTAACAAGCATTTTGATAGGAAAGGATGACAAATACGAAAATACTTAGAGTTTACTTTATACTTAAATGTACTTTTAAAGCTGAAGAATGTTAACTTCATACTGTACTATGTGCATGTGTTTGCAGTTTTTTGCGATGCCTGCAGAGAAAAGCACGGCCTGCTGGCACAAGTGTCTGGTTTCCTACCGTTACGTGTAGCGTCCTACTTGCTGATGCCGTACACGCTGCCAGTGGAATCAGCGTACTCTGCAGCTCAGAGGTCAATATCATCATTTAACATTGTTTACTAATCAGAACAGAATTATTCTATTAATTGCACTTTTAATACACTACCATTCAAAAGTTTGGGGTCAGTAATGTTTTTAAATGTAACTTTAAATCCTTCTGATTAGCAAGGTTGCATTAAATTGATTAAAAGTGACAGTGAAGACATTTGTAATGTTACAAATATTGATTAACATTAATATTTCAAATATTGATATTTCAAATAAATGCTGTTTGTTTGAACTTTCTATTCATCAAGGAATCCTGAAAAAATTCATTACGGTTTGCAGAAATATTAAGCAACACGTCTTTAAATATTTGTGTGAATGTCACAAATGTTGTATCCAGACAAGTTTTTAATTTCGGTTGTGTTTGAAAGGTTTTGGGAATGGATCCCAGAAGTCCCTGCAGATGTGCGCTGGCTTGCTGAGGCAGCAGGCGGTGTTTATAGACTGGCATGGAAAGGTGCAGCACCAGAGACAAGCAGGTAAAATCCCTCAGGAATTATTGAAGGCGACTATTAAAGGAGTAGTGAACAAAAAATTAAAATATGCTGAAAATGTACTCTCCCTCTGGCCATCCAAGATTTAGTTGAGTTTGTTTCTTCATCAGAACAGATTTGGGGAAGTTTAGCATTACATCACTTGCTCACCTATGGACCCTCTGCAGTGAATGGGTGCCGTCAAAATGAGAGTCCAAACAGCTGATAAAAACATTTACATTTAGTCATTTAGCAGACGCTTTTATCCAAAGCGACTTACAAATGATGACAATAGAAGCAATCAAAACCAACAAAAGAGCAATAATATGTAAGTAGTACTATATTAGCCTAACATAGTACACGTAGCAAGGTTATTATATTATATAAAAACATCTCAATAATCAGCAAATAATCCAAACAGTCCATCAATTAAATATGCTCAGATCAGATGTTTTTAACTCTCATTCTGATGGCACCCACAATTTAATTCAATGCTGAAAATCTAGATGTAGGAATTAAAAATTTTAATCACTCCAGGTTCATTAATTTATAGATTGGCATAGATATATGAAAGATAAGTTATACCTAGAGTCTAATAAGCAATAAGAGATCAATGTTTTTCCACAAAACAGCCAAAATGTCTTGAATGTCTTCTTGTTTATTTTGCAGTGGCGTCCCTTTGACAAGATGTGTGAGTGAACCACCAATGGTAGATTTACAAATGCCTGTCTCAAACTACAACGAGCACATACCTCATTCTGCCAGCAACCTTGATAGTTTCAACTGGACTTTTCCGGATTACTTCAACGCAGCTTCCTCTGTCGACCCACGGGACAGTCCCATCAACGACACCAGCACCTCCCCTAGGCAGATGTGCTTTTTTGTTGGCTCAGAGAAGCAAATGGACCAATGCAGGATCTTTTCAGCTTAGTACAATATATACTGTGCCTGATTGCCCTGGTCATGTCATGCTGCAAATTTGAGCAGTTGGAGAGACGAGCTTGGCTTGTTAAACGCTCTGGAATCCAGCGTCGAGAGTAAATATACATGACATGTCAAACACTCCTCCTGTGACATTTTGGACATTATCCAAAAGTGCCTTTCTTCTCCATTCAGAACCAAAGCTGTGTTTGATCTGTTGTGTCAGCCTGTACCTTGTGTTTTGCTGATAATTGACGCTGTTTGTATGTCAGAGTTTACTTTGCAGTTGGTGCCAGTACTTCTCTGAGATTTCAAAATACTTGACATGAGCCATACAAGGCCATACCACGGAGGTGTACAATCAAATAAAGAGTCTGAGGCCATGCATCTTGCATTTGGTTTCATATAACATGCATTATAGAGTCTGTTCATCTTCCTTTCTCAGCCCCTCACAGCTCTTTCTTGGCAAACAGTGACATTTTTAACGCAAAATGGTAATGGAAATTTTAAAATACATAAGTACATGATATAATGTATTTATATGTTGTATAACAAGAGAAGACCGTTTTAGAAGACAAATATATTTCAGTAATGATATGTTTGCATGGAAAACTTTTGATATGCTGTGCAATAAACTAAGAATGTGCACATTTATAGTTAATTAAATACAGCTGTTTATTTCACTTTCAAGTGATTTGATGATCTGTAAATATCATAAGCAAAGGACCTTTACAAAAAGCTACGCGGATTCATGAAATACTTCATTCTGATTGATCAATCGCAGCACTGACTGAGGTGAAATATTGTCCCTAGTGACCGTTACTACTTTAACTCCGCGTCTCGTATCAATCCGCGGTCTCTTTTTAGCTAAAAGACGGTTACAGAGTGCAATAAAAAAATAGTCTCGGGTGAGTTTAGTATTGATTTTTATACATAGTCTGAGCATAAAACATTTTATATATAAACAGAAACTCAGGTGTCTCCAGTTAACGCAAGAAAAAAACATAGACCGGAGGAACAACGAACCAGTAACTTAGGTCACGACGAGGATGGGAGAAAATAAGGTTAGATAAATGCTGATTTGTAGCTAAATATTTAACTAATTTGATAAATCTAAAGTAATATTATTGTGGTGTTGGTCTTGTTTTCTACATTGTATGGAATATTTTTATTTCCAGAAGCTAATCTACTAGTACAATAATAAATTAATTTGTGTATCCAGAAAGTTAATGGCTCTAAGTAAGTTACATTATGCTTTACACAATATAATTCAGAGCAACTAGAAAGAGTAATACATTAATTTTATACTGTCTCCCATTGTTTTGAGTTGTCAGAAAGAAAACTATCAAAGATGCAGAACGGTAATGTGAACGGAGAAGAGGATGAAGAGTATCAGCTCTTCCTCTCTCAGCACAGTCCTGCACAGTGACCAGAGAAAATGGCCTGCAGGCTGCTGATCCCACCAGGTGAGGGCAGCAGTGAGCCATTAGGCAGGCAGTCAAGTGATCTTATTGGGAGCATTTGGGGTTTGTGATGATAAAAGGATAAAGGAAAAATATCTGATACATATATATAGGATTTCTGACGTTCACTAGGGAATTTTTGGGATAATAAAGAGGAAGGTCAAGGTACGTTGAAGATCCTTACTGGGGACTGCAGATAGAGAGGAAACACGAGTGGCTAAATATGCACTAAAATAAATATATGTGGTTAACAGATGACTTTCTCATCAATGTGATAGAAACTCATCTGACATCGTTTGGGTGAGCTATTCATTTGTAAAAAAAAATATTGTACCTGTTTTTTAGGGTAATGTACAGTAAGATCAGTAAACTTTTTACACTTTCATAAAAATAGGCTAATTCTCATACTATTTTAGTTATTTAGGTTTTAAGTTGGTACCTTTTTAAATGTTCCGTTTGTGCAAAACGCAGTGTAAAATTTGTATGTACATATCAATGATTCTACTGTCTTTCTCATGGGTGCAATAAATAACCTTTTTAAGTTTTTTAAAAGAGCAAATTAAAAATGTTGTCAAACGTTTTAGCTATTTCGCCTAGCCCTATCCTGTAATAAAGATGATAACACACACACAACTACATCATTGCTTTCTTAAGGTTGAAGGCCTGAGACTGTAACTAGGCTCTAAAAGATAAGATAAGATAAGATACTTTTCACATAATCTGAGTGTTAGACAACACTTTTTATTTTCTGGTGCTTATATAATTAATATATGTAAAGGTGAGGTGGATATTGGAAATAAACACCTTCAATTGCTGTTATTGTTATTTTTAATATTTTATTTACTATTTAATTTACTAAAACCCATGGCCTTGTATTTGCTAGCACCATGCTCAACTGTTTGAGCATCAGGAACTTTTGGTTTTGTTGATTTTGTAAATGCATTTTTCTCTCTTTTGGTTTGTAGTGTGTTTCTTGTAGATCACGCCTGGACGTATAGGGTGGAAAGCACCCGGCAGCAGCTGCTGGAGATTCCTGGACTGCTGATCCGGATGGCCAGTCTGATGGGTTTGCCTTTTCACGGAGAGGCACCTGATCCGGACGTCGTGGAAATACAACATGTTCAGCTTTCCCAGGGGGTAAGAGAAGGAGAAGGAGAAATTTCTATTTAAGGAATAGTTCACCCCAAAATGAATATTTGTTGAAAATGTACTCACTGTCAGGCCACCCAAGATGTAAATGAGTTTGTTTCTTCATCAGAACACGTGGAGAATTTTAGCATTACATCACTTGCTCGCCTATGGTCTATGGATCCTCTGCAGTGAATGGGTGCCGTCAGAATGAGAGTCCAAACAGCTGATAAAAACATCACAATAATCCACAAGTAATACACACAACTCCAGTCCATCAATTAATGTCTTGTGAAGTGAAAAGCTGTATGTTTGTAATGAACAGATTCATCAAGGCATTTCTGACTTCAAACTGTTGCTTCCGTCTAAAATGCAGTCTTTTATCCATAATATTGCTTTCTTAAGTGAAAAAGTCATCTCATCCATACTAGGACAGAAATATGCACATATTATAAGTGACAACAGTCCAAAATATTTCTCAACAAATATATCAGTGGATTTTGATGTGAGAGGACAGCAGGGGGTGGACTTTTTTCCCTGGGGGAAGTGTTATTATTGATTATGTACTGCTATATTAGCCAAAAGCGACGGTTTCAAGTTAAAATGCTGTAACAATGGTCGTTTCTTACAAACACACACTGGAATCTTGTGGATTATTGTGATGTTTTTATCAGCTGTTTGGACTCTCATTCTGACGGCACCCATTCACTGCAGAGCTGAGCAAGTGATGTAATGCTACATTTCTCCAAATCTGTTCTGATGAAGAAACTCCTCTACATCTTAGGTGGTAAGAGTCTTAAGTAAATTTTCATTAAATTTTCGTCTTTGTGTTCTGTGTGCATTCTGAGATATGTTGCTGCAGTCTGCAGAAGAAAAGGTGCCTGTGTGGAACATCATGGATGAATTTGTATCTCGGGTTCAGCATTCTTCCCAGCCGACTTGCTGTATGGCTCCTCTGTTCTACACTCCACAACAGATCGCTTACTCAGTGCTGTGGCCACTACAAGACCTGGAGAATGGAGGTATGCTAGCATACACAAAAATATGCGTAACAAAGCAAGAAGTAATTTTCAGCACATCGCAACTTTCAGGTACTTTTTAATATAAATGTTGTGAAAATGAAATGTTGTGAAAGGACAGATATCAAACACAGACACCCTGAATACACTACCCAGAATATATTGTAGGGGAATTTACAGTTAAAACCCAAAGACCAGGTTTGATGAATGAAGACCAGGAGTCAGAGATGCAATCAATTGAAGAAAAAATTACAGAAGAAAATAGTTTGCAGTTTCATCAGCAGAAGTCAGCTTCAATTATACTCTTAATAGAGGCCACTAAATACATCATTACATACTGTAGGTAAAAAGGATACTGATTGGTCAAATCATAGAAAAGCAAGCAAAATCTTAACAGATATATATAGTTAATAAAGCATATCTCTGAAGGTTATTTAGGTGACAAGCGATTAGAGGTTACAATCAACCAATGTTCCCTCTAATATTGTTTTCTTGCTGAGCAAAGCTTCTCTCTGTTGGGCAAACATTTCAGCCACCTGAGCAAAAACATTGTTTATACAAGACCTGCACAGCGCACACACAAAAAAAGTGCATAACTTTTAACTTTAATGTGCTATTTATAGTTGATTTGACCCTTAATGTAACTAAATGATGCACATTTATGGGGCTAGAACTGAGCAAAAACATTGTTTATACAAGACCTGCACAGTGCACACACAAAAAAAGTGCGTAACTTTTAACTTTAATGTGCTATTTATAGTTGATTTGACCCTTAATGTAACTAAATGATGCACATTTATGGGGCTAGAATTGTTGCATTATTCCAAATAAATAGATTATGATCCACAAATAAATGTAAAGTGATTAAAAAAATTAAACATATTGACAAATAGATAGAATGAGATCCACAAATAAATCTTTGACTTTCACAAACATGAATTCATTTCACAAAAAATAAAATAAATGAGATTTGCAAATAAAAGACGTTTACAAATATCTTTTTATGTCACAAGCACAGCTTTGCCTTGCATTCATTTGTGAATCACGTCGTGTGCATTTGTAGATCGCTGCACACATCTGTGCATTTTGAAACATTTCTAGCGTCAAGACACTGACAGCCCACAAATGCGTGGACTCCACCCACTGACTACTCAAGCCAATCAGATAACAGCCTCACTTCGCTCACCAATCAAAGCATGTTCTCGCGTTAACTAGTCACGTTTCGCTGTACAGTCAGGGCGGGAGCAGATTCATTTTGCACCCATTTAAGGAACTGCATTCTATGGACTCTTCGTTAGTGATGGGAAGTTCGGTTCTTTTCCGCGAACCGGTTCTTTCGGACAGTTCGATTCAATAAACCGGTTGAAAAAACCGGTTCACCGGTTCTTTTACGCTCGACGTAATGACGTCATTGGCGATGACGTAATGGCGTTGTCTATCGCGGGCTTAACACATTCAAATATAAAGTCAGTAATCATAACATCAGTCAATTAAAACATCATTATAATCTGATACGTTTCTTACAATTTGGATTTTTGTATCTAAAGCATCAACACATATACAGGCAGTGATCTGCAAACTAGGATGTTTTACAGTTATGACGTCAATAAATTAGTCTTCATCAGCGCAGAAACTATGCTCCACTTACTATGTATAATCCATTACGGTTTATTTGTAATTAAGTAAATTTACGTTTCGCCGGATTGCCCTTCATTCAAGTCTTCGGTTTACCCGCGCTCATAACATTAGCACAGAATCAGTTGTCCAAAAGAACCAGTTCGGTTCAGACGTGCTGTGTCAGTCAT